GAACCTATGTCAAAAAGTTCTGTCTCCGTAGTTTATATTTCAACCGTATGGCCTACTGAACGAGTGCGTATTAGACGAACACAAAAAGAATTGGATGAATTGATGTATGATGAAAATTCGACAAATGTTTGGAAGGAAAACTGGTTTGACAAATACGAACAGCGGCCAGAAAAAATGGAAGAATTATCATTTGCACAATTCGTTGCCAATTATACTAAAAATTTAAAAGGAATTTATATTCGCTGAAACAAACAACGCATTATTCGATATAGAAATTATGACATTGCTTCTGATTTCAATGAATACAAAAGAGAAATGGTAACTTTACACATTCCATTTCGTAATGAAGAACTTGATATTCTTAAAGAGATGAAATTTATTAGGATTTACGACGAAAATGAAAATCTTATTTTAGAACGTCGTAAAGAGTTCGAATCGAGCTTAGACATTAACAAAACGATTGAGATTTGTCGAAAACTATGTCTTGAAGATGGACAAGGGGACGATGACGATGAGATCCAAGATGTCGCCATGAGATTTCCAGAAGCTAATCCATTCCAAGCACTGTATGATAATCCACATTCTGAGGTCAACAATGATTTACGTTTAGCAACGATAAATAAACTTGGTGCTATTGCTAAACGGAAAGAAAATCTTATGCCCAATGAGCAATATTAAGAACTGATGAAAATAGCTAACGAAAAACAAAAGGAACTTTTAATGCATGTCATTCACCATCTTCAGTCAGAAAATCCATCTCCATTACAAATATTTTTAACGGGCCCTGCTGGATGTGGGAAAACGTTTGTAATCAAATTATTATTGGAAATTTATAATAGATATACTGAAAACGATGGATTCTGCAACTCTTATATCACGTGCGTTTCAACTGGTAAAGCAGCTGTGGCTATTGATTGATCAACGATACATACTGCACTAAAAATTAGTCTTTCTAAGTTGCTTCCTTTATCCATCGAAGTAGCACAACAATATAGATCATTGTTCAAATATGTTCGCGTATTAATTATCGATAAAGTTAGTATGATTGGAGCTGAGTTGTTATTTCAAATCAATTCTAGATTGAAACAAATAACCGGTAATTATCAAGTAAGTTTTGGTGGATTAGATTTCATTTTGATTAGTGATCTCCGTCAACTACCTCCAGTTCGCGCTACTCCAATTTACAAACAAATAAAGCAACAAATAGCTGGTTCAACATTATGGCGAGGGTTAAAATTCTTTGAACTGACCGAAGTAATGCGACAAGCCAATCGAACATTTTCTACAATATTAACCAAAATTGGCGATGGTAAGCTCTTGGACGATAACGAGTTGCAAATTATTAAATCAAGATTTTATTCTGAAGAAGAAGCAAATATAATTTGTCCAGACGGGATATGATTGTTCTTCAATAATCATTCAGTTGCTGAATACAATAACAAAGTTTTAAATTCTTCAGCCCGAAAAGTTATTTCGGAAGCAACTGATGTATATATTGGTTGTCGCAATGTTGAACAGCAAACCTCTATGCGTTTAAAATTACATAAAATGACAACTGTTAATACAGGAGGTTTGCCTTATGAAATTACATTGGTTGTTAATAAACCATACATAATAACATCAAATATCGACGTATCGGATGGATTAGCGAATGGTGCGACAGAAAAATTGATTTTTATCGAATATAATGAAAAAGGAGAGATTTGTCAATTACGGCTAGAATTCCCTGCATGTCTCAAAATAAGAGAAAAAATCAGAAGAAAGGCAGCGTCATAAATACACAGGAACAATCTTTGTCCACCTGCAGTTCCAATTAATCGCAGAACATGCTCTATTCAATTGGTACCTAATAAAACAGTTAATGTTAAAAGTAACCATTTCCCATTGGTTTCTTCGTGTGCGATAACAATTCATAAGTCTCAGGGAGGTACATTTAATGAGATTGTATATGAATATGACAAGACACACGTTCAACAGCTACTGTACGTTGCACTATCACGAGTAACATCGATGCAGAGCTTACATCTCGTTTCCAAAAAGAATGACAAAAAATTTTATCATGGTCGAAGGGTAACAGTATCGACAGCTGAATTGCGTTCTGAGTTTGAAAGGCTGAACATGAATCGATTAAAAACTATTAATAAATTATTATATAATTTTATAAATAAAACTAAAGGGTTGTCACTGTTCACCTTTAACTGCCAAAGTTTACGAGCTCATGCACAGGATCTTTAATTAGACAGAATAGCATCGTCCTCGAATTTTCTAATTCTTTCCGAGACATGGATGAATAATCAAGACATTATAGATATTCAAAATTTTGATATTGTTGTTCAATATAAAAGACCACATATGAGGACTGACGGAGTTGCAATCTATCATAATATAAATGACGGAGCCCGTGTTGTTACTCCACATATAGATATCAATGAACAACAATTGCTATTACTGTCTGAACAATATTCTAAAGTAGGAGGTCTATGTGCTTGTCTAACCAGTTTGAACCATGGTTCTTCTGTTATAATTGTGGCAATTTACATTTCTCCTAACCAATCAATAAATACAGTTATTGAATTCATCAACGATAATTTAATAAAGTAGACGCAAAAAGATTTTAGTAAAATTCCAACGATTTTAAGTGGGGATTTTAATGTTAATTTTTCATTAGATACGGCTCTCCCTTTGATTGAATTCTTGAACACAAAATTATATTTACAAATGTGCAGCAGTCGCACTGAATCTACAACAAGATCAAAAACAGTCATTGATGCTGTATTTCAAAGATATATTGATATAATGGAAACAAAAACATTTATTTCATACTTTAGTTACCATAAGCCACTCGTGTCATTTCTTGTAACTGAGAACTTGGAGTCTGGATAAAATATGATGTAATGTATTTTTATGTCATGGCCTGGGTTGCCTTCGAAGAATAAATTTCCTTTTTACGGATACAAAGAAGATATGGACGGTCAAGAAGTAGCAGCTTTCTCATAACCAAACAATAGTAAGATTTTCTTCATTATTTTGAAAGGAGAGAGAATAAAACAGTTTAACTTTTGTTTTTACACCTTTTAGATTTTGAAAAGTATAAGGTTCACATGATTGGCAGAGAGATTACAAATCGAGGTTATCTTAGAGAATGATATTTACGCAGATACAAAGAATATATGGACGATCAAGAAGTAGCAGCTATTTCCTAACAATACAATAGTAAGATTTCCGTCATTATTTTAAAAGGAGACAGGGTAATGCAGTTTATCTCTTGTTTTTTTACACCTTTTAGTTTATGAAAAGTATTAAGTTGATACGCTGAGCATGGAGAATTGAAATCTAAGTCATCTCTTAGAAGGGCATTCACACGGATACAAAAAAAAAACACAAATATTTAAATTTAGCGCGCTATTGGAATTCGTAATATTCTAGGAGTTCGCCCTTTTCAGTGGAGCGAGTTGAAAGGGGAAGCGTCTTAGTTTCTGGTCCGTACGACCTCTTGGAGGTTTTTATGCCCTCCAGGGTTTTTCCCTCCAGGCGGAACGAACTTAAACTCCGGGTGAATACCAGGTCGATGTGTGGTGTGGAGGCCATGGCAATGTATGTCGCCTCTATGCTGACTGTGCAGTACAAACACTATTTGATGCTGTATACATCGATATATCAAAGATATATCGATCACATCCAAACAAAACTATTTATTTCATATTTTAGTTACCATAACTAGCTCGTCTCATTTCTTCAAATTGAAAACTTGCTTACTGTCTAATATGTTATGTATTATATGTCAATAAAACATAAAATAATTTTTGAATGTAGTAACAATATTATAATAATAATATTATAATAGTAATAAAATATTAATAATTTTTATAACAAATAAATCCTACAATTATTCGACATCTGATACTCTGCATTCGTCTCATTCTCTCGAAACTTAGTTTTTGGAAGATTTCACTTCTAACACGTGTGATCTGCATACATGATTTTTTTTACTTTTTAGATCACTTCTATTCTGAAGAAGTGTTCACTTTAAAAATATTAGTAATGGTGGATAAGAAATCTGCATTTAAATTTAAAATAATTATAATGTATAATATTAATAAAAAATATAAATATAAAATAAAATAAATATATGAATGAGTCATTTTGTACCACAATAAATTTTTCTAATTTACTGAGCCAGACATTTTGTGAAGTAAAGAGAAATTAATTAAACTTGCTTTCCATTTGTTACATTATTTATTTTAATAATAAATAAAAGTTTTTCCCTTCAAAGTGTTCCAAAAAAGTGAAAAATTGAAATTTCGAAAAACCCTCCCAGCGTTACCTGGCGAAAACTATTATCTAACGAATGAACTTTGATTTTTTAATTTCAGATGATCTAGCACAAAGTTATGAGGGGAGCCGCAATTTTACTTTTTTCCTGAGACATTTCCGAATAATTGCTGCCATTGCCGTATTTTTTAATATTTCTTCGTGAAAATTTTATACAATATTCTTCGAATGTCATACTTTAATGTACCATTGGTTTTAATAAAGAGATTTTAACTGTCACAAAAAATTCACAAAAACATGCCTTGTTTTGTACGAATTAACCTTACCCCTAAATGGAACCGCAGAAAGGTTTAGTAGAACAATAATGGATAAGGCGTGTTGTTTAATGGATGAAGCAAATGTAGATAAAAAATATTGGCCGGAAATAGTGCATGCCGTGACTTACTTGAAAAATAGAACGCTTGCTAATACTATCGAAAGAAAAACACCTTACGAGATTTTCTTTAAAGAAAGGCTGAGTGTAAAGCATTTACGTTTATACGGAAGTACAGTTTCTGTTAGAGAGTCAGAACAAAAAAGAATGTCGAAATGGGATAAAAAGTCAGAAATGTTCTACGCAACACTTGATGCAATAGGTGACGTTCAAGTTGGTCTTTTGATATTAATGGACCGCTAACTGTCCATATCCATATCCATATCCACAATGTACAGGTAGAGGTTACGAACACTCAGCATAATGTGAATAATTTTTCAAGTTGCATTGGTAATTTCTAATAACGTTGATTTATTTAAGAGTAGAGATATATTTATCGTCAATTATTTTATTCTATAGTTCTACCTGAGACTTTTTTATGAAAAAAATTACCAAGATAAAACCCTTGTCTGATTAGCGATTGCAATACTCACAATTTAAATTTACCAACTAAAGCAATTGGAAATTGGAATCTAGTTTTGAATTTTAGTACATTGATAGATAGAAGAGAAAGACCTCGGAAGTTTATTTTCCGAATTGAAGAATAAGAATTTAAAATTAGAAAATGCTCAATAATTTTTATCAGTATATCAACCGTTTCATATCTGAGCTACGTTTATAAACATTACATAAATTATGTGAGTTTCATTGTGTCTGCTAAATTGCATTAGTTTGAAATGTCAACTATTGAGTACGACAATACACGAATTAATTCGTAAAAGGAAAAAAAAATAAAATAAATGTACACATATTTAAAAGAAAAAAGAAAATTCTTTTATAAAATTAATATTTATAAACTACATACTTTTTACTTGGAAGAAATATCTTCATATTTTTCATTCTTTAGCTTTAACATATTTTCTAATTCAATTATTTTATCCACCATCCTTTGATTATTCTCTTCTAATTTTTCAATCATTTTAGTATTCTCTGAAAGACTGCATTGAGTTAGATCGAGTTGTTCTTGCATCTCGTTTATCTTTTCTCCATATTCTACCATCGTTTCTTCATGTTCTTTAATTTGAATGTCCTTTTGTCGAGCATCATTTGTGATAGTAATATATTCTTCTTTTGCTTCGTTCAATAAAGTTTTAAGTTTCTAAAATATTATTTATAGTAGGATATTATCAATTACCAATGTATTGTTTAATATAATTACGAAAATGTTAAACTAATTAATTACCTTCACATGATCTTTCTTAAAAGATAATTGTGATTTTATCTCTTCAGTATAATATTTTTTTTTTTTTTCGTGACACAGATCTTTCTGAGCAGCATTCAATAAATATTGTGTTTATTTTAATTCTTCCTTTGACAAGCTCAATTGAAATTCAGTTTTATGTTTTTCTTTGCTCAAAATTTTATAATTTTTTTGTAATACATTAATAGTGTTTTCCATATATACTAATTTAGCAGTTAAATGAGAAATTTCACATTTTAAGTCTTTAATATATTTTGAATTTTTACTATTATTATTTTCATCCTCATTATCATTATTATCTTCGTCAGATAAATAAGATCGTATCCTTTTTCGACAATTTAATTTAATTTTTTGTTTATAGAATTCTTCAACTTGCTTAATTGACCATTGCAAAGTATCTTCTTGCTGTTCTTCAACATCTTTTACATGAGATCTAGATATAAGTATAAGTAATACGTATAGTAATTCATATAACAATAATATGAAAAAATGTATTTTATATACATATAAATACATACTTCAAATCATTCTCAAGCTTTTTTATGGCAGTAATATAAATGTATACCATTTCTTGCCGAATTTCAAAGTTACGAGCTAAAGCCATATTTTTTAGATTCGTTATTTCCTTTCTTAATTGTTTATTTGTTAGTAACAAATCTTTATATTCTTCAGAAGAGATTAACTTCATTTCATCTATTTCTATCCTTGTATCTGTATTTGTATTTTAACAAATCTATTAAAAATCCAATGTAACTTATCCAAAATTAAAGTTATTTATAATTAATAATACATATTATCTTATCATCAGTATTTTCTAAATCTGTAGTGTCCCAGTTTGTTACACTTTTTATACTTTTCTGAACCATTTTTGAAAATCTTGAATGATGTGTTTTTTTCGTATTTTTTATTTTAGGCTCTATGATTATTTTTTTTGCAATTGCTGCAAAATTCAATACATTTTGTGTTTCTAAGTAAAGATTTGGCAAGAGATTAATATTAACAATTAAAGCAATATTTTCACTCCCTGATAATGCTCTTTGAAATAATCTTGTTAATTTTGATTCCCTGAAAGGTCCAGTCGCAGGCTCAGATTTGAATTTTGATAACTGAGCGTTATAAATTGATTTTAAACATTTCCCTAAGACCAACAGACTCGTATTGATATTTTGCGCTTCTTTTAATCTGTCACCAATGTTTAAAGTCTTCTTTAAACGTTCAGAACCAGCTAAGTCACAAGAAGAAAACCTGTTTAAAAAATAATTATAATAAACAATTTCACATTAAGTTTCAATCAAATAAATATATTAAAATACATACGTGCTTATATCTACTGAATCTGTTAGATTTTCAGAATAATACTTTAATAGTTTAATAGTAAGCAATGAGATCTCGAACTTCTTGCATTTAAAGCTGTTGCGGCTACTTTTAAATTATATTGCCAGTCATTAAAACTTTATATGCCTCCGCATCAGAGTTAACATAAATAACATTTAAACCTTTGATAAAAATTCTTCCATGATTATCAGTTGCTAGTTGTAGTGGTACTTTCTTTTTTGGACAGTCAATAGTCAAAAGATCATATACATTTTCATTATATATTTCAGCAAAAGATATCCACACTGAATAATGAGCATTGTTGTATTGGTCAGATTTCAACAGTGAATCTTCTTGTAATACACTTTGCATTTCCTTATAAGTATTATTATATTGATTTTTATCCACCGCAATAAAACTTAACAATCTAGTTTTAACTTGTAACTCTTGAGCTTGCTCAAGAGAATTAAGAAATATTGCATCGCAATATTGTATAGGTTTATATGAAGGTATAGATTTTGGAGTGATAATAGAAAATAAGAATCCTAAAGCGCGTGGAATGATACCAGGTGATGTAATTGTTCCTTGCAACGTATGTGACTTTCCGGAATTTGTTCTACCTGCAAAAATATAATTTCTTCGCATAAAATATATAAACAAATGTTAATAAGAATTTTGAGTATATAGCTCTTACCGTAAGTCATGACGTTAAAACTTTGCCCAGCTAAGAAATCTACCATTTGTTGCTTAATAACTCGATCAAATAATTCCAATTGCATTATTTCTGGTCCAAATATTTGAGTGAACGTATATGTTCTGCATGCTACACCGTTACTTTTACCTCTTGCAAAACAACTGTTATTTTCTAAATATGGTAACTTAGTTACCAAAGTAGTGGAATTAGTTATTTTATAAGCTTCTTCTTGTTCTGGTAATAATTTGATTTTTTTTAAAGACTGCGAATTAAAAAGTTCGCTTTTTGTTTTTTCTGCCGAGTCAAATTCTTCTGTTTCATATACAGAAAGAAGATTTTTCTTTTTATCTTTCTGTTACGCGGAAATGTTCACGTGAAGTTAAATTCGCGT